GCCTCTCTCTCTCTCTCTCTCTCTCTCTCTCTCTCTCTCTCTCTCGTCACATTGATCAATGTTAAATTTGAAAAAAATTTAAGTTTACTTATATAATGTAATTTCAACCAAAATTGGGTAAAACGATAAACGTTGCCTCTTAAAAGCATTCACGATTCAGCTACTGGAGCGCAATCGGCTGATCTGGTTTCAGGACGAGGACGTAAACCAACGACTGTCACTCACATCAGATGGATATCTTACCGTGCTGAGAAAGTCTCGCAGACATTTTTGGAGGAGAAGTCTTATTATGGTGTTGAGGAGGCGTAGTTCCAATAGGATAGGGGGCCACTCCCCACATTTCAAGAGTGGCCCTGTTGTAAGGCTGTATAGTTGGAAAAGTTTGGGGAACGCCATTCAAAGCCAAACGCTTGCAATTGATGAATGCTAACTGCATTTCCTCCATTTATTGGACCCCCTCAGATATTTATTTTGAGATTTTTTTGACGGACGACAGACAATCTACGGAAACAACCAAAAAACAATTGAGCGTATTTCATTGGAGCTTGTCAAGAGAGAAATGGTCAACATCTGCAGTAAGCAATTTAAATAGCTACCTCCTTCCCTGAGTTCATTTGGCATCATCAAATACACAATTGATTATTTTAAAGTACAGGTACATCGCATTTGCGAAGTTTTGCGCTTCCTTCAATTTTTGTTGATTTTTTTTTAAACTTTATTATTTTTCGAACATGTTGGTTAATGTTTTCTATATTGACCACTGTGACGTCCTCTTGGTTGAATTTTCTTTTGTTTTAAGTTTTGTTGAACTTGGTCCAACGATAAGCCAATTACCTGTATTGTCCTTTGAACGAAACTTTTAAAGAAATGGTATTAGCTTTTAATATGGCCTTTCTCGGATTGTTTTGTTCGATGTTCTCTCGAGGCGCCGATTCATTTGTCGGGGGGAATTGGCGTATTCTGTGACCAGAAGATAATATGACAAAGGTGAAGGACAGGCTTCAACTAAAAACCACCCAGAAAATTGATGAGGAACTCCGGTGTCTGTCTGCCTGTCTGTCTGCCTGTCTCTCTGTCTGTCTCCCCCCCCTCCCAATCGGAGGAAAATCTGACTAGCCCGACTCAGTTCGAACAACCGAATCGAACCTAATACCCATTGACACGATCGGTTCGCTTTGGTTCGATTTGCTAGCCAGATTGAGGGTGCATAGCGGTTATCCTGGCACAAACCGATTGTCCAACTTGTCGCCGAAAAAACAAACGCCGATCCGATCTTGCTAATAGAGTGACCGACAAACTGACCGCCAACCGATCGCTCGACTCGTCGCCTAAAAATAAAATGTTTGTTTTTGTTATAACGAGTCGGGTGATCGGTTTGTGCCACGACGCTAGCCGCTTTGCGCCCTCAATCTGGCTAGCAAACGGAACCGAACCGAACCGAACCGATCTTGCTAATGGGTGCCTCTTTTTAGACAATGCAGAAATCGACCATGGTATTCCCCTGGAAGTTGTAAAGTAACTTTGTAATATGTTCCATGCACAACCGATTATCTCTGTCATATAGATCTAGTCCAAGGTGGCACCGGCAGACTAGTGGATAGACTACCAGACCTGTAATTGTGTTACCCAGTCAGACGCTGTGTCCTTGGGGACGACACGTTACACGCATTTTCCCATTTGGCTCGGTCCTTTCCGAGAAGGACGTTAAATTTGGAGGTCCTGTCTTTTAAATAACTTCACCATGTTGCTAAGGGCGTCTTATTTATATAACTTTATTTCATTATATAGTCCAAAGCGGCCAGACACAACTTGAGAAGACAAATAATTCGTGAGGTCGAGGCTCATACGAGACATTGCTGTCTAAACCAACAGTGGTATCTTATATCCCAGTTAATGATGGTCTACAAACTATGCAATTGGATTGTGAAAGAGTTGCTATCAAATGTATGCAAGACCCACTGATGGCCTCGAAGCTTCTCAAATCACAGCTGGAAAAAAAAATTAATTCACTGAGCGCCCAACAAGCCAGAGAAGAGCTAGTCAGATCTTTTTGTGAAAGAGACCCTTTACACAAAACGAAAAAAAAGGGAACAGTTGCATGGATATCGAGCTTTTCACAGACGAGGCCACTCCAGCTTTTGAACCACCAACGAAGTATCTTGTGGAAGTGTACACCAGAAAATTGTGGAGACTATTTTATTGTGAGCAACACTGAGCAACGATGAAAATGATGAAATGGTGTTGGTTTAACACCCCTATCAACACTATTAGGTTATGAGGCGGGACCTCCGAATTCAACGTCATTCTCCGAAAGGATCGAACCAAATGAGAAATTCGTATAATGTGTCTTTCCCAAGAACACAACGTCGAACCGAGCTGAGGCTCGAACCCGTAATCTCACGATTACGGATCCGTTAGCCTAACCACTCGACCACCTATGCCACTTGATCAATGGTTCCGCAGATCGGGAATAGGCTTACCAAAGTTGTTTTTTAACCTCTCATCTCTTTACCCAAAAGACTTCGGTGACGACCCACTGGATGCTAGATCTATGGAAGAGCTGCAGAACTGATAAGTGAGGTTTGATGATGACGTCACTGTTGAAGAATTGCAAACAGAATCAAAGATAGCACATGACAAGATGGTTCACTCAGCCAAAAAAGTGTCCGCCGGAAGTCCGCTCTTTGCTTCAGATGGCGCTGCAGTCTGTTTTGAAGCTCTCTTTCGTTTTTCCAGAAGAAGAATAGGAATCCTAGCACCCCCTTGCGTGCGCCATAGATGTACACTATAGTTTAATTTAAAAGGGGGCAACTCTATGGCGTGCGCAGACGACTGCTGTTCATCAGCAGTTCGGGTCCGTTTAGTGAGGAGTTTTAGGTTTTAAAAAAAAATTTAATGTCCTCTTGCCTTTCATTCTAAAGTCAAATTAAACGAAGAAAACAATCACCCCTTCCTCCGGAAAAGGCTTTTTGTCAGTGTAACCATTTTAAAAAAGCGTTCTTTCGAAATTTATTTAAAAATTTGCTAGTTTCACTTTGATTAAAAAAAAACCAACACAAGTAGGGTAACTCTGTTCGCAAAAGGTGCGCATTTGCGAAGAGGGCGCCACCGAATTTTGAGGACACTTTTTTAATTGGCTCAAAGAGAGGAGTGGCCCCTCTTGTTATGTAGACTCTTTGACAGAACTCTGTGAAGATTCGGAGAACAATAGAAGACAATGAAGCAACCAAAAACAGAATTATGTTTTTACAGTGGAGGGTGATAGTAACAGTGAATGTATGAACGGGACATGAACATTTTTTCAAGTATTCCTCACCCCCCGCCCCCCCCCCCCCCCCAATCTCTCTCTCTCTCTCTCTCTCTCTCTCTCTCTCTCTCTCTCTCTCTCTCTCACACACACACATACACACACACTGTCTATAGCTTTCTCCCCTAGCCCCACTCCCGATGTGTAACCTAGGCATATTTTAGTCCTATTTTGTGGGCTGGTCTGGGTGACTCCGTCCTTGTTCCCTTCATCGTCATCAAGTACCAGATTATCTGCGACAGACAATGGTGGCCACGGATCTTCATTTATTCCTTAGTGCGGATGCTCTAAAAACTTTTAAAAAGCCACATTATGACCTCTTTAAACTGTCCAAGTTGTTCAGGGTCTACCCCACCCTCTTTTACCCTCATTTCTGTTCTTTCCCTTACGAGCCCTAATTTGACTGTATTATTGATTGATTGATTGATATTTTACTTATTCATTTTGTTAGGAAAAGGAACAGCTGCTATAGTATAAGAAAGGAAGAGTTCACATAACTTTAATACGGAAAGGAATGAAGTAATATGGAAGAGAAATGACCATTGTTGAGTAGACCTTTGGATAGTCATATTAGTCATATTATTATCTTTGTAAACTTTGTAGCAGCGCGCCATTATGACCATGTGGTTCGTTCTGGATGAATACTTCTTTTTTGGTATCGATATCTTGTTCCCAAAGTCGCAAGAACTGTAGGCTAAACAAGATCTCTATACATTATGAGCTATTTATCTACCAACCTGCTCAAACTTTCATAAATCGTTGTTACTAGAAAATAAATGCCACAGCTGAATTTGAAATAAATTGGGAAGACTGACTGAAGTTGAAGCTAAAATCAAATTGGAGAAGCACTAATTGTCGCAAAAGTTTACCGGAAATAGGGTTCAATTTGTTTATTGGTAGCAACTCGAGCATGATTGTTGTTGTTCTAACAGTGAGTGTTGTTGTTCTGCACTATGTAAGCGTTTGTACTCTTGCAATGTTTGCAGTATGCACCAAAGTTTCAGAAAGATCTTTGGAAAGACCGTTGATAATCATTAGTTTACTTGAATTGGTCAAACAACTCTTTGAAGATCGAAAATAGGTCATACAAATTCGAGCCTCAACATGTTTTCTTCGCTTGTCAATATTTAGAAAACGAGGGTATCTCGCGGTGTCACTGTGTTGTCTATCAAATTTTGAACCTTGGTACTATAACAAGACATGGACCCGTGCTGATGAAGTTTATATATTTAGTTGATAATAGCAGGTGCACATGTACGAAAGCAGGTATCGATTTGGTTCTGTTGGTATCTTTAAATTTAAATTTAAGATGTTGATTTTGATACGACCAACACTACTTACTAAAATCTAGATGTCTAGATCTAGAATTTGGATCTAGACCTCTCTATTGTACACATAATAGGAACTAGGATTAGGCTGGGTGATACCTTAATAAAAACTAGTATTATCCATATAGATATATATGTCGAACCTGCCTTTTAACGGAAACCTGTATAAAACAGAAACCTGTCTTTACGGAATCTCCCCGTTCCCCCCTTGTAACCACTACGGAAACTTTCCTGGGTCCAGAAGCCAGAGGTGGGAAATTAGTTTGACCAATGCCTGCCGCCCTAATTGTACGGCCAGCTGAGAAAAGAGTTCCTCGAACCGTTGTTACAATGATGGCAGTGAGGGGTGGCATTGATGGGTGGGGCTAAGGGTGGAAGCAAAGGAAATTGTTTAACATTTTTATGTTCTTAATAGGTCAAACAGTGGTCCTATGAAAGGCAAGCGCATTGGTGGTAATTGGATTTATAGTAAGACTGACGCATGTCATTATCTTATCAGACAGGATAGCAATTGAGAGGTGTGAAGTTTTGACCACTGCTTGCCGATCGGACAAGCCATCCCTGATCCGACCGGCTGGGCCTTTGACCCCCCGCCCCCTCCCTCCCTCCCTCCCCCCAACCTCCATCTCCCTCCTTAATTCCCCTGTCTGAGATGGAAAATGTCTAAGACGGAATTTTTTTTCTGGCTCCCTTGCGATTCCGTCTTTAAAAAAACCAGGTTTGACTGTTTATCAAGTCATTTGGATCAGGCAATTTTGAATTTTTACCCAGTCTGAGTCTGGGCATCAATTCGCCTAGAGCTTGTAAACTTTAAAATCTAGTTTGTTTTTTGTGTAGGCCTAGACAGTTACGAGAAGTCCTAGTTTTAGAATTTAGATATCTAGACTTTTCAGCACAGATGCAGCTACTGGTATTTTTCAGAGATGCAAAAGGGACTCAGTAATTTACTGATGGGGAAGTGTTAATCTGAATCATTTGGCAAGACTGCTACCTTAAAAATATTCCGGATTCATTTAGATTTGGTGGAGTTTAGTTTTAATATACTTAAAGTTAGATTATAGAATCAACCTCCTCAGATTTCCTGGATGATTATATATATATATATATATATATATTGTTTGTGGGTATTCTATCCTCTTATTGCAATTTTGTACAAAAATTGTCCTCAGGTGCTATATTTCGAGGACTTTTATAAATTCATTGCTCTGTGTGACTAATTATTATAATTATTTTTGAATTGAGCGACTAGAAGCATTTCTGGAAGAGGCTTCATCATTGGTGAAAAAAACCCAACATACATGCCCCACTGAGATCAACTAGTTATTCCAGACTAGGCTGTAAGTGTAAAAGTCTAAAAATGAAGCATCTAAGGATGTTTCTCTTGTGAGTTTTTTAATGCAAAGCAACAGCCTGAGAAAAAACAACAACAGTCAATAGTAAACTGGGAAATCTGAAAGTTGAATCCTACAAGACTTTAATACCTGAATCCCTCAAGTCTAAATAAAACGTTAAAATCTCGAATATTGCTGGCTTCTTTTTTGATGATATTGTGGTCTTAGGGGGAAAGGTATAAACATCAGAAGAATGTACAATGAGGCACTAGTGGGGGTTTTGCTTTTAGTTTTCTCTTCATTGGAAGGAATGGATGCAGGCCATATTGACATTTCAGTGTGAGATTAGAGCTATATAATAAATTAAATCTTTTTTTTCTGTTTTTGTGTACATTTTTGTTTTAGCTTTTAGTTTAGAAAACAGCACAGGCAGCTTGAAGTAAAGATGACAGTGTTAAAATCCAAAGACAAAGACCTTGAATAGTCAGAGCAGATAAGGAAAGAAATGTGAAAGTTATTAGATGTAAATTTATTGAAAGATGCTTAGCTAATTTATGTCTTTGAGTTGATGTTGTTATTGAGGGAAAATCAATTTTTGGATTATAAGGTAATAAAATTGCCTTTGATAATCATTTCTTGCATACCACTGTTTTGTATTTGCTAGAATGCTTAAAAAATGCTTAGATTCAAGTTATATTTTTGTATAGTGGAAATATTACTGCTTTCTCTCACTCTCATTAACTCATCAAGTCATTCATACATTATGTTATGATGTTTCTGTTTTTCGCTCTTGTTTCCTTAGATACCTTTAATACTATTATTATATTACACATGTAAGGAGAGACTAGTATGTTAAGTAAAGAACACTGGTACACCCTTAAATTTTGTGAGAGGATGTACATGTAACTAATGAAACTGCTTGCTCTCTTTGTAATTTCTTAACTTTCTCACTCAAAAAAGAATGTTATGTTTTTTTCCCAAGGAGGGGTGATTTGTCTTAACCGAAGAATGCATCGTCCTATTCTGCCATGAAAAGTGGATCAGAAGCAAGATGAATTCTTCTTTTGATTTTCTTGATTTGTCTACAATGAAGGGTATGTCTATTTTTTGTGTTTCACCGTAGGATACATTATTTTGTCTGTTTATGTTGTATTGATGTGTTCTTTGTCCATCAATTAACATTAAGTGACGGAGGCAGAGATAAATAAAGAATAGAGAAGGAATTTTATTATTTAAAGAAACAAAAACTTAATTAAAAAGAAAAAAAAAGAGACCGGAACATGTGATAAATTATAAAAAGATGCAATTGATGAAGTCTGTGAGTGAGCAAAAGACATTCGTTTGCTGACATACAAAGTTACACCTTTGCTTTGACTAAACATATATTTCTAATTTCTAAATAAAATTGTAGCACAAATGACTCTTTGTTTTGTAATTGATAGGACTGTTAGGTTTGCTATGGATTTGTTTTGTCCCAGGGCCAAATGGTTTGAATATTTTTTTTCAGTTCTCACTTGCGTTTCATTGCTTTATTTGAAAATAAAAAATGTCATGCATTATTTTGGCAATCCTTTTTTCTCAATATATTTTACAGATCCAGATATAAACAATTTGGTTTCTCATAATCAGAACTTGGCTGTCGAGCTTGCTCAGTGTCAGGTAAGCTATTATTGGCCATCATTCCAATAGACCAGCTTCTCTTTTTTCTTTTTTTTTTTTTAAATCTTCACCCATTAGCATCTGTTATGTGTATACACTTTTTACAGAAAGCCTTCTTTGAACAAGTTCCTACTGATTTTTACATTTTGGGGATTTTTTAGATGTTCATTGTTTAGTAATAGTTGTTGCGGCTTTTGATTAGTCTGTATATATTGAGGTGGAATAAGATAGATTATAATATAAACTTTATCTTTGTCCATCTTTGTCTACGTATCTTTGCATGCATGATGTATCTTTGTCCATGTACCCTTGTCCAAGAATCTTTGTCCAAGTATCTTTGCCCATACAATATGTCTTTGTTAATGTATCTCCGTCTATGTATCTTTGTCCATACATCTTTGTCCATGTGTCTGTCCATTCTTTGTTCATGTATCTTTGTCTAAGCGTCATTGTCAAAGTCTCTTTGTCTATGTGTCTTTGTCCTTATTTCTCTGTCCATGTGTCTTTGTTCTTATATCTTTGTCCAAGTATCTTTGTTTATGAGTCTTTGTCCAAGTATCTTCTTTGCGTACAATTTTTGGTCCTGTCTGCAGGCTGACAAAGACTTTGTTTGGTCCCTATGGAAAAAACTTCAAGTTTCTAATCCTGATGTCACAGAGGCTATCTCCCTGGTCATCCAGAGGTAAGAGCTGCCGGCCAACTTTTTAATGTTACTTGTTTCCGAACTGTACCTTTAATTTACTCTTTTGAAGTGGTGGTGGAGGGCGGGTTCTTTGGTGTGGTTTATCCTCGTTTTAAATTTTTTTGTGTCACTCTCTTGTAACAGTTTTAATCTATGTAAATGTTTTGCAAGTGCCCTAGAACTCTTACCAAAATAAAAAAGAATAAGAATACATGCCCTTGCTCTTCCTTTCTGGTGATCAACTTAATATTAAACTGTTTTAGTTATATAACTATGCTTGTCAAACTTTTTTTGGCTAGCGCCCACTTTTGTCCCTCTGCATGTATTTATTTTCCAAGTGGGGCTGTAAATAATACCTTGTCGCTACCTGGGTGATCCCCATGGCAGACCAAAATTACCAAATATCCCAAATCATTCACCCAAACTCAGGCGTTCGTAAAAAAACCGTGAGAAGTGGAGGCACCTAATGAGGCTCTCTATCATAAAGCACCCCTACGGTCCGCGTGGATTATGGGATCGGTAAGCAGAAAGCCCAGTGGTGAATGATTTTGCTCAGGTTGGGAAGCAGTGAGTTACACAAAAATGTATTTTACCAAGGTCTGCAATTTTATTTATTTGTATGTCTTTTATACATGTGTAACTGTGTTTGTAACTCTCGTCTTCCAGAGAAAAGGAGAAGTCAGAGGTCAAAGATCGCAAGGTCCTGGAGATAATTCAAGTGAAGGATGATCGAATCGAAGAGTTACAGAATATTGTGGCTAAGCAAGCTCAGGAGATCAGTGATGGTCTAGCCAAGTAAGGTTCTTTTATTTTTTTGACTTTTCAATAACAAAAACTATACATCGTGTTTGTTGTAGTTTGATATTTTTATTTTGAAGACACTGTGAACTGTTTTGGGGCTATTCAATGAAAAACGAAACTGCGGTGACATATAGCTATCTTAGAATTTCATAGTTTTATCTGACATTTTGGGCCGTTTTGAGTTACTAAGACCACGAGGTCAGAAACCAAATGTTCTATCTGCTCTATCAATATAGCAAGATTATTCAGAGTCGTTATCAAGATATTCAAAAAACCTTCGCATGTTGTAATACTCTCTTCGCCTGTTGTAAAACTCACAATTTTTACGCCAAATTTATCAAAACTAGGTACTGAGCGGATCAAATTTTATTCTTCTAGGGCAGCGATGTGTCACTGCAGTTTCATTTTTTATTGACTCTCTTATTGCATATTAATGTTTTTTTTAAGTAAAGTTACAAATATAATAAAGGAAGTCTGGTGGTTTTGCTTTATGAGGTCTTACTTTTTTTTTCAGGAAAGTGGAATTGACGGAAAAAAATGGCCGTATTCAAGGGGATAATGACAGGCTTGAGGAGAAAGTGCGAATACTGGAGGTCCAGGTAAGAACAAAAATCAAAGGAAAAATCTTCCTTTTTGTCTAGGGATATTTTATTCTGCTTCTGAAAGGTTTGTTTGTATTTTATCCGCACCCCTTCCCTGTCTGTGTGTGTGTCTGTCTGTCTGTGTTTGTGTCTGTCTGTGTGTGTGTCTGTCTGTCTGTCTGTCTGTCTCTCTGTCTGTCTGTCTGTTTGTCTGTCTGTCTGTCTGTCTGTCTGTCTGTCTGTCTGTCTGTCTGTCTGTCTGTCTGTCTGTCTGTCTGT